ATCTGTTGCCTTGCTCCACACTTACAAGCTGTGTCTTCTTGAGATACTTGCTAAACAACCAGAAGACCCTTCTCCTCTTCTGTCAAATGGAAAGACAATGAAGTCGAGACCACTGGGTGATTGTTAGCATATAATGATAAGTCTGGATTCTATAAGTTCTTTTCTAGAAATTTAAAGCCAATGGCATATATTTTTGTTAATGATTTGAGTAATTCAGAGAAAGGAAAGATTGTCATTGTGTATGTCTAATTTAAGAATGAAAAGTTGTTGTTGTAATTATTTTTGCTAAGATAAAGTTAATGACTTTTGGTATGACTCATCTTCCCAATATCCCTAACTAACACCTAAAAATGGCACATATATATATATACATGGTAGGGAGGCACAGATATTTTTTTAAAGTTGAAACACACTGGATTCCTGTCTAGTTGAGTATGCAGGAGGATACTGTGATTCTTATTACCTAAGAATATATTTCTTATTTTATTATTCTTGAGACTACAGTTTTTTTATACAGTAATAAATGCTAACATTTTTTAAGAACTTCCTGTGTTCCAAGGACTTTAAGTGTACTAGCTTATTTTATCCATACAACAGCAATGAGGTATTTATTACCCTTACTTCACAGATGAAAAAAAAATACAAGCAGTCTTTTGAGATAGTGAGAAAAGTACCTAAATGAAGGCATATACAACATACTGAGAAGGGATTTAATAAACTGTCTCTCACAGAGAGTGACTTTACAGCAGTAACTAAATTTTAATTCAGTTTTCTAAACTCTAAAATGTATTGCTGGAGGGTTATTAAGTGTTATTACCAGTGCTAGTAAAATGAATCCAACATGAACAAGGCATCATCTCAAAAACAGTGTATAGGGAAGGAAAAAAAAAGTTGAAATGCACTTCATAATTGATCAGTGCTGATAGTGATAATGGTGTAAGTCATTTACTCATCTATTCCCCTATTTATTGAACAAATACTGTGCATGAGGCATACTTAAATATACTTGTTACTCTCACTTTTCCATTGGAAGAACTTTGAATTATTGTATGAATTTTGATTAAACTGATTACAAAATTTGAAACACAGTGAAACCCAAACTAGGGCCAATACTCATTTCCTAAATGAACATTTTATGTGCAAACAAACAGCTGCTGGAATTCAACAGAATTTAAAACAAGCTGTTTGTAAATTTTACTGACAGCTGTTTTTGGTGATTTTTGTCAACAGAATTTTTCTGCTTTGTATGGCAGCATTCTTTTCTTACAGTGTCCCCTCGAAGTATAACTTGCTTGCTTTAATCACGTTTACAGAGATTTATGACTTGATGCTTATTCAGTGGTAGAGCTTCTGAACACAAAATGTCAGTGAGCCTGTTATAAATTGCTTCTGGCATTCCTACTCTATCTTTTATTTGGCTGGGAGAATTTCCACCTGAAAGTGATAAATTCCTGCTATAACCACTTTATGTGCTTCAGTAATTACACTGTACAGAAAAAGGGAGTTTCTACTGAGGAGTTTCCTTAAAAATATCAAGCAATAAAAGACAGTGGAATGGGCTGAACCCTGAATTCCATTGAACAAAAACAATGACCAGTGAAATATCTGTGTCACCCTGAGTTTGATAAATGATCTGGAAATACAGAAGACATTAAAACCTTTAAACCACTGCTGTAGGGAGATATTAGTGTAACTATGTTCTTAGACTAGGTACTTTTGATCCTGTGACAGAAATTTGGCCGGTGTCCACAAAAATAGAGTAAACATCCTTTCAAAAATCATCTTAAAATATATAGAAGGTTCTAGAGGCTTTGGTAATTTTTCAGGATATGCCAAGGTCTATGTGACATTGAGATTATGTTTATATGTGCAAATCAAAGAGACTGCAGCATGTCAAAACAGTTCAGTACAGAGTATTGCAGCCTATAACTTGATCAATACATATATACACAACTATATCAATTAAGACGGGATCCACATTAATCATATGGCATCCATGAGTGGTGAGCACTAATTAGTTGTGGCCATACTACTTTGTTTGCTTTAAGTAATCTGCACTGCAGAAGACAAAATGTTTTTGATCACTGAGATTCTTTTGTTCTTAAAGGAGAAACAAAGTGTTGTAAATAATTGAAGAAATTGAAGAAAAACTATAGAGATGTTCATGATTACATGATCATGCCAGGAATGGTGTTAGGAATCCAGTGGATATTTCATTTGAGATGATACTAAAAAAAGATTATGATCATTGAACAGAATTTAAGCTTCCATTCAGAGTTATTGTCTCATATTTGCAAAGGAATTGTTACAGCAACTATCTTTGTTCCAATAGTCACAGAATGAGTAGCTCCTTCTTGCTCAGAATATACACACTTTCACAAGAGCCTTTTAAAGCAAGTATAACTGGCTTAGTAAAACTCACCAGTGCTAAAGCCAGTCCTAAAAATGGGAAAATGTATTGAATGCTTCTTTTCAGTTAAGTTTTAATACATGTATTGAAGTTCGGTACAGCCCATTGTGAAGGGATTTCCATTGGTTGTACAGGACTACTGGTGCAGAAGAGTGTGAGGTTGGTATATATTAATCCTAAACTTACAAAAGATGAAGCTAAGTTCCAAAATAGGTTAAGCAATGGGCTCATGAGTGCAATCCTAGGAAACTGCAGGGCTTGGTTTATAACCCAGTTCTGCTTGACCTCCGAACTCTATCCACTTAATCACTATACTACATTGGATTCCAGAAAAAATAGCACGGAGCTTATGCATTTAAATTAGTTTAACATCGTTTTCACATAGGAAGGCTATCCTCATCAGATGTAGAGAACAAATACCACACTCCTAGATGCTGTGAAGGTTCATTTTACCCCATCAGTTACCATATTCAAATGCTCTTTATCAAAGTATTTTCAAACTGCTTTTCTGGGGGGCTTGGGGAAATCTCTAGGTTTCATAGAGGTCCTGCAAACAGAATTTATAAACGAATGACCAAAAAAATGCACTCAAGTCAGAATGGTTTATTCCACTGCATGACATCATAATTAAAAGCCAGAAATGAATTACTGTGTATGCCGAATTTGAAAGATAGCTTCACATTCCATGGGTATTATGTTTGTTCCATTTTGCTTGTTATATATATTTATCCAAGTGAATATGAGAATGATTTATTACTTTGTAAAATACTTCACAACATAACAGAAGAAAAAAAATTAGCATTTAGATTGTTTTCAACAATCCATTATATTAAACCTGAATATCAGGAAGGAGATCCAGGTGGAGATGCCTTTGGAGTACAGTAGCCCTAGAAATGGTAATCAAAGCAATGGTCGGAGGGCATGGAGAGAGAAAGATGGGTAAATAGGCTAAAGGAAGCCTATCCATATGTCTCAGAATCTCCCAAGGACCAGAGCGTTACAGTGGGGCAGGAGGATAAATTTTGAAAGAGTCTAAAGCAATAGGGAATACTTCTTAATTGGAAGAGGAGGAGAATAGGAGTGAAAGGAAGCAACACACCTGAATTTTGATGTACTCAGGAGGGCCTAGCCGGGAAATGGAAAGGGAAATAATGATGCCGGGGTTCTTGTTCACGAAGCCGAAGAATGAGCTTCACAAACACTCAAGGTAGGAGAGCAAGGTACAGGCTTTTATTTAGAGATAAAGTGAAAGGACAGAGCTCCCGGCTCACGCCAGGAGGGGACAAGAGAGTCCGTAGTGGTGTGTTGTCTAGGGGGTTTTATAGGCAACTGAGGATTTTTCGAGAACATGAAAAAACTTATGGGTGTGGACTTGCATCACCTGCCCTGTCCTCAAGGTGGGCTGGGTCATAGTCTGATTGTTAGGGCTGACAGCAGAGTCACGGGGTATGCTGATACCCTTGCAGAACACTTAAACTTTCCAGGCCAAGTTGCTCCTGGCCTTTTGACCTTTACTGATCTCACTGAAGATGTCTATATTCTTAGTATCTTTCCCTAGAGAATTAGTATGACCTTGACTTTGCATAATGCTTAACAGAGTTTCGATGGGGACTTCTTTGCCCATTGCTACATTGCTCTGACTGTAAATATCCCACCCTGCTTTTCCCGGAGGCCCTCACTCTACTCTGACTACACCCATGGTCCCTGTCTCAATAACACATCATTTAGCTCTTTTAAAAGTACGGAGAGGATATTGCTAATGCCCTAAGATAAGTCTTTGCCAAGATCCTATAAATGAATTGGATTTCCCTGGGGAAGTTCTTCTCTGAGAGCAGTGCTCCAGGATTCCAGGCATTGTTAGCGTATCTCATCTTGGATAGGTTGCCTGTCTTTTACCCACACACAAAAATGGACATGAGGTAAAGAAATGGCTCTTGAAATGCAGGATCCAGGGCTGAGGGGAAGAGTTGGTTCAAAAACACTTGAAGCAAAGCATCCACCACCTGCACTGGAGCAGAGCTGGGCTGGAAGAAGGAAGGAAATGGAGGGGAAGTGGCAGAGGGGAGAGTAACCTTGCTTATTTTCTTGATGCATTTACTGTGGCCACCATCCAAAGCTGTCAAGAATTTTGTGAGCCTTGGAGAGAGGTAATGGGGAAAAAGCTGAGGAAGGAAAGAGGAAACTAATAGTGAGACAGTGAAAAGACCCTCATGAGGGTAGACACACCCTTTAACGAGCAAACACCCCTTACGGGGCAGTGGAGGGAGTGAGTTACTTTCTTAGGAATAAAGACAGTGGCACCTTCAGCGTTATGGGCAAAGCTTCTCCAAGCTCAACAATAGCCAAAACAACGCTCTTTATAGAAAACGTTCAACTTAAAGTTTACAGTTGGTGATTTTCCCGTGGGGAAAGTTCCGCTGCGGGGCCCCAGAACGCTTGCTCCCGGAAATCAGGGTCTCGTTCAGTTCCCGCCTTGATTCCCTCCGGCGGTCTTTTCCCGCGCACCGCAAGCCTCCAGCGGCGGCCGGGCCCCGCCCCGCAGCGGGCGTGTCCTCCAGCCCCGCCCATCGGCCCGGCGCGCGGGGATTCAGGGGCGTTACAGCGGCGCTGCCCGGCCCCCAGGCGTCCTGCGGACCGAAGCGCGGGAACCCGTGCGGCTGGGGCCCGGATCGCAGGCCTGCCGCTCTTCTTTCCCGCGAAGACGGGGCGATGCTGCAGAACCGGCAGCCGAGGGTCCGCTCCGGGAACGAGCCTCGTCCCGCGCCCGCCATGGAGCCTGCCGATCGCGGGCCCTGGGCCCACAGCCGCGCCGCGCTCGACCGGCTGGAGAAGCTGCTGCGCTGCTCTCGCTGGTAAAGACGGAGCTCGAGGGGTTGCTGCGAGAGCGGCGATGGGGGGCTGGGGTCCCCGAGTCTCGGGGGCGGGGCGTCTTTCCAGACCTCCGGCTACCCCCTCCATTCCCGCCCCGCTGTCGGGCGGGAGGGCAGAGTTAGTATCTGTCTAGGGATCTGGTGTAGTTATTTCCTCGCTGGCCTCCATTCACGTCCTTTCTGGGAAACTTCCTAGCCTTTTTCTGGCACTAATTCCACTTAAGGGGTAGTGCTCCAACTTCAGCGGGCTTCAGGTCGCTTGGAGGTGTGGTTAAAAACGCGAAATCAGGTCCCGCCTCCGGAGTTTGAATCTGTTGGGGTGGGACTAAGGCTTCTGTGCTTGTTACAGGGCCTCAGGTCCCGGGGATGAAAGTAGTTAACAGACCCAGTTTGAAGAGGCCCAACCAAGTTGGAAGCATCTGTCGCTCTGCTGAGCCAGCGCCTTTGATCTTTTATCTCTACCAGCTTTTTGCAGGGAAGAGGGAGAATCTTGGAGACCCTTGTTGGGGGTGTATTGAAAATGACTGGGTGATGGGAGACACCGCCATTCTGTCTCAATTTCTCATTTCCTTGGTTTGCTCAAAGGAGCAAACCTTGTATAGCTTGTATGGCTTAGGGTTCGAGGTCTTAGAGATGCTGTATCTGATTTTTTGATTCTTATTTCCCTGCATGCTGTCACACCATGGGAGTCCCTTCAGTTAAGGTTTTCATTCCATCTGAAGATGTTTTCATGACTGGCACTCCTTGCTTCTCCTTTCCCTGTAGCTTTTCCTGGTATAGAAACCAAGAAAGTTTATAAAGCCCAAGAAGGGCTTGTCTCATTTTTCATTTCTTCCAAAAGCATTTCTTGGGTGTCAGCTTTGTGTACAGCGCAGTGTTTCTGCATCAGTGTCACTCTGGCAGGTTGTCCCTCTCCATATTTCTCTTTTGGACTTTGTTTTGATTTTTTTTCCCCCCTCCTCTGATTTCCAACTTGCAGAACTTAATTTATCCATAAAATATAAGTAACAGTCGCTTTTTCTTTAAAAATGAAGAGGACCTGTTTCAGTCTTGCACTTTTGTTTTACAAAAAACTTTAAAACCTATGACAAAATGATGTTATTGCACTCCTTAGAACAGTGGCCCTTTTGATAGGATGAGTACATGAAGATATTCTGCGTTGTGTTTTTCTACACCCGGGGTCATCCATCTCAGAAGAAGAAATTTAAAACTGACTGCTAGTTGTATAATAGAAGCAATTGTAGTTAGACCTTACTAGTTCAACAAATATTAGACATTTCAATGGGACGTTTCTGTGTGGAAGGCACTCAGCAGCATTGACTTTATTTAGACTGCAGAGTCAGACTGCTTGAGTTTAGGTTTCAAACTTTGACACTATTGAATGGACGCTAGTCATTTAACCTCTCTGTGTCTCAGTCTCCCCTTAGGAATAATAGTTCTCAGCTTATTCTGTGAGGATTCATTATTTATATAAATAAGTAATATATATATATATAGAGAGAGAGAGAGAGAGTGAGAGAGAGAGAAAGAGAAAGAGAGAGAGAAAGAAAGAGAGAGAGAGAGAATGAACCTACAAAGTGCCAGACACTATTCTAGGCATTGGGAATTCATGAGTAAACAAAGCAGATAAAACCCCAACCCTTAGGAAGCTAACATGCTATAGGATGAAAGAAACTGAATGAAATTGTACATGTGAAGTGTTGAGTGTGTGGTGTTTGTCATAGAGTATGTGATAAATCATAGGTGTTTTATAATAGCATAGTCTGCTTGCTGAGTGGTTTGGGGGGAGAAAAAATAGGTAGAATATGAATAATCAGAATAGGTAGAATATGAATAACCTAAAGGTGGTCCTGAAATTTAACATTGCCAGTTTCACTTTTTATCCCCTACCAAATAACCAAAGGAAGCAGACAATAAGAGCCAGAGGAATGAAAGTAGGTATCAGTAACTAGGTCTGAACTTTTAATACAGGTCATCTTCTTGTCTGGAGAATGATAACTGCACTCCAGGGTTTAAAAATATATATATATATATATGAACCACTGGTGGATTAAATCTCTACTGTTTCTTTGAATACATATTTTAACATAGGACTTGGCACACTTTTTCTATAAAGGGTCATATAGTAAGTATTTTAGGCTTTGCTGGCCAACAACTCTGTTCTTACTATTTTTCATTTTACAACCCTTAGAAACGGTAGAAAATTCTTAGCTCAGCGGTTATACAGAAATGGAACGGGCTGGATTTGACACATCTAGGTGATAGTTTGCCAGACTGTTTTTCAGAAAGAATGTCTTAAGTTTAAAAATCCTCAGTGTCAAAAAATTTTACATCACGTGAGGTTTAGTATTTAGAAATGGCTTGTGTTCGTCTCTTGGTGTCTCTGTGTGTTTGGTACTGTTTGTAGTGAATAAAGCATGTACAGTTGCTCCTTAACCATGGGGGAAAAAATCCCATTCTTTCTCCTCTGCCTTTTCCTAGTAGCTGCCTGGCATCATTGCTTCACAGGACCAACTCAGGATGGTCTGCTTCTTGCTTTTGTTACCCACCATTCAAAGCAATGTCATAGTATTTGAAATTGGGTGTCAGTATGTCCTTTTACAGAGTTTCAGAGTTCTATCCAGTGGGCTGGTGAATACCCCATTTACCCTCACGGTCGGTTTGCATCTGTCATCTGCCTTGTGTTGTTAGATGTCACCTGTCTTGTGTAGCATATTGGGTCTATTTTGCAGCAAGCATTACTTGCAGCTGAGAGTGGATTGGCTACATTACAGGGCATCCTTTCTTGACCTTTAACATCAGTATGGCTCCAATGTGAAGTTGATGAAATTGCTAAAGAGGCCAGATGTGACATTTATGTTAGGGCCAATCCTCATAACCAGATAATAGCTATTTAAAGATTTGGAGAGATTTAAAAATGAGACAAGAAGACCTTATCATTTGAGAGGACAGCAAAAAGTACAGTAGCAATGTGTTCCTAAAGGAAGCAGGAAGTGATAATAGGAGCTGTGCTGTAAAAGTCCAGGGGTCATAAGACACTTATTTTGTAAATTAAAATAATTAGGTTCCTCTTGACATACTTTTTTGAGGGGGAGGGTTGGCATCTGCTAACAACTATAAGTTGTACTGGTGCTTTTGTAATCTAGTTTAAAAAGTCAAAAAGTAGTCTTGTGATTTTTAGAATAGGTGATTTTTGTAAATTCTCTCATGGCATTTTAAATGTGATCAAGATTGTTTCATATTTTGAGGCAGCAGAGGTTAGTGGTTAAGGGCATGGATTTGGACTTTGGCCTCAAATCCTGGTTCTTTGATTTGGGGCAAATTATTTCATCTTTGTATGCTTCCATTTTTTCCTTCATCAACAAAATTAGTTAATAATAGTTTGTACCTTACAAGGTTGTTACAGGAATGAATGAGTTCATTCATATTCACGAACAGGTACTAGAGTAGTGCCTGTTACGTTCTAAATGCTGAGTGAATGTTTTATAAGATAAAGGATAGGTTTCCTGACTCCAGCATTCAGCTTTTGCCTTTTTTCATTAGTTTTGAATGTTCAGAGGCATTCTTATAGGCCAGTGATCCTTAAGTGGGATGATTGTTCCCTTTGATTTGCTCTGGTGCTGGTTAGTCATTAGGACAAGTAGTCACTAAGGTACTATGTTAGGGTGATAAGGTGAGACATTTTCTACCCTTCAGGAGTATCTGCTTAACTGTAAGGGATAAAATATACACACTCTTCAGGAGTAGATTATGAAGGCCAAGAGAATGCAGAAAAGAGTGGTTGGGTGGGGTTGGTAGAGGAAAGCTTCAAGGGTTTTTGAGTTGGCCTTGGATAGATTTTTCTAGATGGAGCGAGGTGGTGAGTAATTAGCAAATAACAATATACTAAAACATATTGCAGAATAAAAGGGAGTGAGCCAGGTGGGCTAAAAGTTAAGACTGGTCAAATCAGTGCTTAGTAGCCTAAAGACTATTCAGAGAGCAGTTTTTGTAACTTTCCTGGACTCGGCGTCCTCATCTATAAAATGAGGAAAGTGGATAATTGGTTTTTAAGGTTCCTTCAGCTTTGCAGATTCTGTAATTATTAGTGTTCGTTGGATACAAAATGTTTAAAACTTTTTATTAAAGTTTAACATACTACAGAAAAAGGCACAAATCATTAGTGTTCAACATGTATCATACCCTTCGAATTGTGATTCATTATGTGGTATTTTGATTCTTTTGATATCTGTCTCCTTCAGTTATACTACATATTTCATAAGGAGAGGTTCACATTTATAGCCACAGTGCTGGACGCATAGATTTTTAGTGTTTGTTGATTAACTCATGAAAGAATTTAGGTTAATTTAGGATCACATTTAAATGTCCTTTGCAAAGTGGAAATATCAGAAGGACCTGGCCAATTGACTTGAAACTCTCAAGAATCCTCAATAGGTTCCTGGGGTTATTTACCCAGAATTAATAGTGACTAAGGTCTCAGGGCAGGTGTAGAAGGCACAGGTCTTTCCGCCTGGGATTTGGAGCTGGAACTCCATGTGCATCCCCAGCAGGTCTGCACATACCTGATGAGATACAGGGCTTGTGACTGACTGAGAAACTTACCAGACACATTGAGCACCCTTTAGCTCATAGCATAGGGGATGGTCTTACAAGTGAAGTTATTGTGATACAGGTTTGGGGCTCAGAGGAGAGATTTTAGGCTGGGAGTGCAAATGTGAGCATCATCTGCCTATATAGATGTTAAGTAATTGAAGGCATACTTCTGGAAGTGAGAAGGGAGGAGTGTGAAGATGAATGCTCATGTCTGAGACTTGAAACAACATTTCAACATTAGGTTGAACAGTTGAAGCTTTAAGGACAGAGGAATATCAGCAGTTACTGTTTTACTTTGGAAGAAAGGGAATAGCGCACAGAATAAGCAGAACTTTGAATGGATGTGTATGATATTCTAATCTATCTCATAATAGTAGATTATATTATAATGAGCCATTGATGGACAGAATTCTATTGCCCATTTAACTTCTGGGATATTGACTCATTGATTTATTCAATATTGACACTATACAGTTAGACATGGTTTCTTATTTTTCCCATGTGCTTTAGTTGAATCTGGCATATAAATTAACTTTCAAAATAAGATGCTTCCATGTCATAATACATGTCCCTCATTAACAAATTTATTATCCTAAAGAAATATACAACAAATTATTTAATTAACTTGGAGAGTCTGTGCATTTTGGTGTGAAATAAGTTTGGTCCAGACTTAAAAACAGTTTGGGGATTTTCTAAAATGTAGAGCCCTGTGCAGCTATCTTGCCTGTTAAATGACAGTTGGTATCTCATGGAAGCTTAGGGAGCCATTTGGCTAAAATAGGTCTGCCTCACTGTTGTCATCTCAACTGAATTTACTTTTCTTCTTTGCAAAGAAAATTTTATACCAATTGGACCTTTTTTTTTAAAGTTTGTTATGTGGACCTTCAGAGCATCTTGTGTTTCTCTTTAACTACTTAATTCTCTAAGTTGCCATCCTCCGATTGCACTGCTCTTTCCAAATCAACCACATGTCAAGTAGCAGAAGTATAACTGCACATGAGAAAAAGTAGAGTAGCTGAATTTTCAGGGCATAGAAATCCTGTTACCATGCACATGTCTTCTTATTCTACTGAACTTTTTCTTTCTAATATATATGGATACGAAACAAAAAATAGGTAAGGATAAATAGAGTTGTTAATATCAATTCATTTTTGTATGTAGTCTTCCATTTGGTTCACTCACTGAGGACTTGTTGAGATCCTGCTGTTCATATAGTCTGTAGGGCTATAATCTATTTGGAGACCAGAAAAAAAAAAAAGGAAATCAGGCAGATAAAATACAAGCTGCTTAGTTTCAACATTGATTTCCCGAGCCTCAGGTAGATGCCATCTCTGTGGAACTTCAGAGCATCAAGTGTTTCTCTTAAGTCATATACTAACCTGCTTACAAAACTACTGAGATTATAAGCCCTTTAGGAAAGTATAATACAATCAACTTTGTGTCCTTTATATGTCAGGTATAGATTTTGCATAAGTGATGACATGGAAACTAAAATCCATGAATTTCTGTGCTTTTTTGTTTAGTGTCATTTTATTATATCATCCTGGACTATATTCAGATAGTGTGTTGGGCTTAAATAGTTTTTGGGGAGGAGAAAGTGTATTCTAGGCTGGGGAGAACATTCTGAGTCATCATGAGTTTGGAGTTGGACCTAGGGTATTTGAGGAATGTTTTTGAGGATGTATTTGAGTAATTAGACACTGCCTGATAAGAGCAGAGTTTTTATTGAGCAACAGTGAAAGAAAAGCTTACCTGGCTTTGGAGTTACAGATTGTGAAGAACTCTGTAATGTTAAGATTTTAAAATTATACATCAATATACTTGACAAAGTCAGTAGGACTAAGACTATAATGAAAATATCCTTATGTCTCGTCTCTTAGTCACCCTCAAGTTCTACACTCCAGATACAGCCTTTGTCTCTCGTCTCCTTTAGCTCAAGTATTTACTTCCACATTTCCAAATATGTTTCCATTGCTATTTCTTGATTTTTTTCCCCATTTTTAAGTATTATTTATTAACTTCCTGATTTCTTATTCTGAAAGATGCATTTTCTTTTTTATCTGCTAACTTTCTGATATGGGAGATGACTATATAGAATTTGAAGCATAAAATAATTTTCAGTCATTATTTTGAAGGCCAAGCATCCCTTGTTACCCTTGAGATATCTTAATGTTATTCAAAAAATATGTATATGAATCCTTTTAAAAATATATATATGACAGTTTTGTAATTTTTTATTCTTTGGAAGCTTGTGGTATCATGTCTAGGAGATACCTTTGGTGTTTTGAAGTTTCAGTTTTGCAAGCCTATGAGTATATCTAAAGTATAAATTCCTGACAGTAGAATAGCTGAGTTAAAATTTTAATAGATGTTGTCTGGTTGTAATAAAAATTCTTTTATTTCAGAGTATCTTCTCAGCTAAGCTCTGGGCATTGTCACAAAATCTGGTTTGACATAGAACCACCCTTTGTGTAGTGTATCTACTCTTTGAGCTTTTCATTACAATTCTTTTTTGAACTTGGCATTACCTTCTCCCAGGTTTGGCTGTAACAGTCCTCTCTCTGCTCCTTCCCCTGGTATACCCCCTCTCCAATACACTTCTGGGGCAGAAGGTAGAGTGGAAGGCAGGATCTAAAGAAAGGGTTGTTTTTTTTTTTTTTAGGTTTAAGGAGAGATGATGACCTGTGTATATTTAGGTGCAGGCGGAAGAAGAAAGGTGACTAGAATGATGAGAGTATACTACTTTAGGATACAGAGAAGATACGGGATGTAGGGGCATGCAAGAGATCTTTTCCTTTGAGCCTGAAGGGAGGGGTAGGATTATGGTAAAGAGGTAGAAATGAGTGTAGGCTTATAGTACAGTTGACCCTTCAACAATGTGGGAGCTTGTGGTGCTCACTCCCCTGCCCCTTGTGCAGTTGAAAATCTGTGTATAACTTGACTCACCAAGAACTTAACTGCTAATAGCCTGTTGACTGGTAGTCTTACTGATAACATCAATAGTTAATTAATGCATATTTTGTGTTTGTATGTATGTGTCATATACTGTATTCTTACAATAAAGGAAACTGGAGAAAAGAATTACATCTTTTCAGGTTCCAAATCCCTCCCAGATTTTTCCAGTATATTTATTACAGAAAATCTGTGTATAAGTGAACCCATGCATTTCAAACATGTGCTGTTCAAAGATCAGCTGTATTTGGTTCTAGTAAGGTAGTGGAGATTGTTTTGAACAGCTATCGAATAGCCATTTGTTTTTGTTTTCTTACAGAACATCTAATACATCACTTTGATAGAAGTACAAAGGAATAATTTGTAAAGTCATGTTTGTATTTCTTTCTGTATTTTTATAAAAGTTATTCACACCCTAAGAGTAGGCAGGGGAGGAATGGACTGTGGGGCTTATCTAGCATTATGATTGACATCTGTGAGTGTCTGAGAGGTCAATGGATTATGGTGGTGGTGCAGCTGGCTCTGAGGTCATTAACTGTGGCCCAGGCTGCAAAGGGAACCCACGTTGCTAATGAACTCTGTAATGGAGTTCTTTCTAATGGAGCTAGTGGAGTTCTCTCAAGTAGAGAGCAACCTGAAGGTGGAAGTTTGGTCAGGGTTATGGAATGAAAGAGACATAGGGAGGATACCATGATAAGAGGAGGTAAGATAATAACCACTTTTGAAATCTTAGAGGCAGAGCTTGTAAAGAAGTAGAAGTCAAAACATTTGATTGGGAGGTAAGAGCATAGATTTGGTAGGTCAAAAAATTGTAGGAGGTGCATGAACATTATAGCAGATCTTCTTAATGCCAGAATCACAAAACTGGCTGGCACATCACAAGTCACATTTTTATCCCTCTATTCTACATAGTGTGATAGAAAAGAATCATATTATGGGTTTCTAAAAAGTAATGGGTTTTGTAATGTCATTGAGCACCATTTTCAGTATCTTGAGAATAACACTGTGGGTGTATTCTCTGTTTGTAGCACTCTTTCTGAAAATTTAATTTAACTTTAATGTTTATATCTATTAAAATGTGCAGTGTGATACTTCTGATCTTTCAAGAAATGTGGAAAACTATTTTTATTGATCCATGGTATGCACACAGAGGTAATTGGATAATAATGGTGTAAGCACCTAAAGGTTCTAAGGTTAGTGTTAATAAACCAAGCACAAAAAATGTTCCTTCTTTAAAAACTTTGTTTCTTTTGTTTGCTCTTGCTATATTATGCCCTCTGAATATAATAACTGTATGTGTGTTTATTAGTAAGCACCACTACCTTCGTAGGATCATCAAATGCAGCAGGTATTCTGCTGGACAACATTGGGAATAATTGTGTTTCTCTCTTCCCCCAGTGCCGTGAATCTCATTCAGTCCACAGAATACCAATCTGATAATTCCTATTTGCACTTGCTCAAAGAACAAAACAATCAAGTAACTGTGAATTGAGAGAACAGGTGTTTTTTTGACAAAGCAGCTATGAAAAATAGATGGCTACCTAACACAGCCAGAGACCTATGTTTTCCAATAGGAAATCATTAATTCTTATAGTCAAGGGAACCAGATGTCCTGATTTTCCTGGGGCAATCCCTATACCTGCTGACCCAGCATTCTATCCTGTTATCATTCCCTTTCATTCAGAAATGTTCTCTTTTGGACAACACATTGTATGGTCATTCTACTTTAGGGTCTCATTTTGAGATTTATGGTCTATATTTTGAATTATGAGGTGAAGATGTATCTGAGTAATTGGAAGAAGCAGCCAGTGGTTGGTCTTGCCAGTAAGAGGTTTAAAGATACTTGAACAAAGTTTTATTTCTATATCTTCCCAGTATATGATTATAAAAAGTATTAAATTTATACTGAGTTGGGAGGTTGCTGTTTGAATTTACCAGGTGTGTGATGATACAATATTTAACCAATGCATAACAACCCTTCAAATAAGTACAGCCTTAATATCTTCTACTTGGAAAAGAGAGAAATATGGTAATGTTGGACCTTAAATTTATGAAATGTTAGGTATTCAGTGTTTATAACAATGACTTAAGTCTTGACTGTTTTCCTTTCTTCAACAGTGCTAATATTCTGAGGGAGCCTGTGTGTTTAGGAGGATGTGAGCACATCTTCTGTAGGTAAGTAATAGTTTAACTATTCTTTACTAGGTAACAGTCATGTAATCATATTGATAATATCACTTTATGTTTGTGTAACTCTGATAGTTTGTTAAGTAACTTATAATATCCATTATCTCATTTTGATCCTTATAACTGTCTTAATTTATAAATAAAATCGAAGCCCAAAGTGTATGACTTGTCCAAATTACAGAGCTTATAGCTTTGCTAAGCTTGGGGAAACAATATGTATTATATAATTCAGGTATGTTTTCTTTTTTCCATTTAGTTTTGAATCTAGACTTTCCAAGTTACATAAGACTTTAGTTATTATATTAGTTTCTTAGGGCTGCCATAACAAAGTACTACAAACCAGGTGGTTTAGAACAACAGAAATGTATTGTGGCCAGAAGTCAAAAAGCAGGTAATCAGCAAGGTTGGCTCCGAGGGCTGTGTGGGAGAGTCTGTGTTATTCTTCTTTCCTAGCTTTTGGTGGAGGATCTTGGTTTTCGGCAATCTGCATTCCCTGGCTTGTTGAAACTCTGATCTTATCATCAAGGTCACATGGTCTTCTCCCTTGTGTGCATGTTTGTTTCTGTGTCCAAATGCTCCGTCTGCCGTTTGCGTGCATGTTTGTGTCCAAATCCTCCATCCACCTTTTTTTTTTTTTTCATAAGAATACCAGTTAATTTGGACTAGGGCTCACTCTGCTGACCTCATTTTACCTTGATCATCTGCAAAGACCCTATTTCCAAATAAGATCACATTCACAGGTACTGGGGGTTAAGACTTCGTCTTTCGGTGGAAAATTCCAGTCATCATGGTTACTCTGAAATTATATCCATTTTATAATATGCCATGGCTTGTAGGTAAGAATATTAGATATTCATCTCAGATTATTTCTCATTCAGGAGAAATCAATTAAATGTCTTGGTTTAATTGCATATGAGACAGGGTTAATATATTGCCTTTGATTCACTTTTATAATTACTACAAGTTCTGACTATGTGACTGTTTGGCACAAGCAAACTGCAGTATGAAGTTTCAGCTGAGCAATGCTAGAAATGCCAAGTCATTTTAAAAGATGTTTTTGTTATATCCCAATCCAGCTGAAGCAGAGAAGTGGGAGGAGGTTAGAGGGGCATAGATTTTTATATCATTGACAGTGTTATGGTAGTTTTAAGGTACTTACATGCCAATCCCTGAAAAAAGTAATCCAAGTATTTTCTTGAGACGTAAGTCATTTAAGACAGTGGCAGGGGGACTCACTCTTTGGTCTCAGACTATTTATGCTCTTAAAAATTGACAACACCAGAGAGCTTTTGTGTGTGTGAGATACTTAAAAATACTAATTCATTCAAAAATGGTAATAATACACCCATTACATACTAACATAAATAACACTTTTTTTTTAAGGAAAAATAACTGTTTCATAAGCCAAAAAAAAACTAGCAAAAAGAGCAGCACTGTTTTACATTTCGCAAATCTCTCTATTGTCTTGCTGAATAAAAGACAGCTAGATTCATAAATCCGCTTATATATCTTCAGTCTGTTGTTTTGATTGAAGTATGTGAAGAAAATCTGGTCTTACACATCAATATTTGGAAAAAGGAATTTTTTAAGATAATTATAGATATTCTTCTTTGATACTATACCACTGCTTGTGAAGTACTTGCTTCGATAGATTTGTTACATTGTGGGAATCTAAAATGATATCAGTGAACTTGGGCTGCTCTGTTATATTCAATTCCGTTGATTTGTCCTGTACTTTGAATGGATCTTTTCCCCACCATGATTTTATGTCATCATGCATTGTTCATTTTGCAAGTATTGACTCACTGAGTTATGCAGATCTATTGAGGAAAGACATATTTCTCTAAAAGTCTGGATTAATGTATGGAAAATAATTTGAGAACAGTTATAAGATAAACATAGAATATATAAAATAGAGTGATCTGAGTACTAGTGTGTACTGGGTAAATGTCCTAACTAACTGGATCTCATTGTCTTCATCTGATAATGAGGTAGTGGTTCTTAATAAGTGCATTTTGACTATTTCACTAGTGTTCCTCAAATAATTAAGTATTGCATAACAATTGATGATTTAAATGCCTGAAGAATCAGTTAACTTATTGTATATGTTGGGGTTCCAAGTTAAGAGTTCCTCACTACAAGCAAATTTGAAGTTCCTTTACTTGCTAAAGAAATTCAACATTTATTGAATTGATCTAGGTCTTTCCCAGCCCTGGTATGATTTATAGTTCATTTTACAATATTATTCAGTTACTTTGTGTCTGTAATCATGTTAGGGTCTAAGGATACAAAGATTACAAATGTCACAGCCTTTTCCTGAAGAGCTGCCTATTGTCCTCTGTGTCTACAAGTGGGTCATGTTGAAAAGGAAGGTAGCATTTTGGGGGAGATGTGGCCTTTGTGATTATTGCATTACCCAGTCCTCTAGAGCCCATCTGGTGAGTCTTACGAGTGGATTTTAGAAGACTTTTATTTCAGAATCCACAAATAGACTTCAGAGACTGTGAAGTCCCTTTTAAAAAAGCGCTTGTGTATATCTTCATCAGATTTCCTAAGGGTTTGTAAAACCCAAATTTAGGAAACCCTTCTAACTGTGAGACTGTGACTCTTGGACAGATAACCTGAGGTAATTTAATTGAGTTTACAGGTTCTAAAAGTATCTGAAAAAACCAAGTATCTTTTATCAGAAACAATTTTAAGACTTTGGATGATTGTCTCAAAACAAAAGGTACTTTTCTCTATTTCTTTGTAGTAATTTTAGGTGTTTCTGTGAAACACAGTGTTAAGGTTTAAGATAGGAAAGGTTGAGGTGCATGACTGCATTAGGTACTCGGTAAGTTTGTTTGTCTTCCTCTGTAGTTTTACCTATTAGAAGCTATGGATTTTACAGGGAAAAATTATGTAGACTAATGTCTGGCTAACTAAGGTCTCTTCATAGTAAATTTCTTAAGTGTCTTTCAATGTAGATTTTGTCTGTGTGTGTGTGTGTGTTACACTCTTTCAAAAACACTATTTTAACAAATATTTTCTAGTTGACCATTATTTGTTAGAACCACCTTTGCTTCATTTAGTTCTGTTCAAACTGTTCATGTTTATGTTTTTGGAATTTAGAGCCCACTGAATGTGTTAATAAATGTTTTTTAATCCTTTTTAAGTAATTGTGTAAGTGACTGCATTGGAACTGGATGTCCCGTGTGTTTTACCCCAGCCTGGGTACAAGATGTGAAGATAAATAGACAGTTGGACAGCATGATCCAGTTTTGTAGTAAACTTCGAAATTTGCTGTATGGCGACAGGCTTTCAGGTGAGAAATAATCAGTCTTTCTAGTTAAATAACTAATGAATTCATATTGATCACATAAAGTATATAAAACATCTATCAGGGATTCTGAGTGACATATTTCAGATTTTATGAGTCATAGTGTCTGGAATCATTTTGAGAAGTGACAGATGCCTAGAGATAATGAAGTCTGACTCCCTTTTTTTAATAGATGAGAAGTCAAGCTTCAGAGAGCTTATGTGGTTGCCTAAAGTCACACATATAACTAGTACCAGAAGCGGGAGAAATAGATTCAGTTTCTTCAGATTGTCAATCCAAAGGCTTGTTTACCACCCTTACTGCCTGCTTTGTACAGTCATGATAGTTTTTGTATAATATGTATGCAATAGTGGTTTTGTTCTTTAACTCACTTAAACACACTTGCAAAATAGAATATAACCTTCCATGGATCATTCTAGACTTAATTAGATGAACACATATTTAAAAAGTAAAAATGTTATATTTTCTATTTAAATGTGGGTTAATGTTTTTAAATTCTTTGACTCTGTTAACTTTATATTTTCCCATTGTGCATTCTGTTGAGAATTTCTTAGCTGTGGAAAGAAAGTAAAATGTTTGAACCTTCATAATTAGGTATTAGATTATCTTTTTATTGACCAGATCATGCCATATTAGGTTGTGTTTATAGGAGAAACTTTTCTTGACTTTCAGGATGCTCTGAATGGTGGGTAACACTCAGAGTAAATGGATGGATTTTTGTTTTTAAACCTTTTGATTTTAGATATCTGACATGATGTGTTACTGTCAAGTACTGAAGGTAAAGTTGATGGGCCATAATAAGGAAACAAGGCAAATACCTTGAGTCTTATTGAGCAGTTCCATATTTTTAAGTAAAATAATTTTAATCATAGTCTACCTAGAAAAAGTTTTCTATCTAGTTATCTGATTATTGTATTAGACTCCTCTCTTATATGATAAAATATGCTATGGTGATAAAGTTTTACTTATTTACAGATATAATTACACAAACATACACACTTAAAAAAGTAGGTGCCTTTTTGAAAAAATACTATGTTGTATGCTCTTAAAGAGCACTGAGGAAAAGTTTTATTATTAATTCTTCTGTACTATTTTTCTTATTATTCAGAGACAGTGCTATATAAAGATTAGTGTATGATCTTGTCCCTCCCACACACATGCAGATATAGATATCATTGATGAAAGCAAGAGTCCTTAAGTGAGAGTCCACACATCTTTGGGAGTGTTGTGGGTGCAGAGAGAGGATAAGAGATCCTCTTAGGCTAAATATACAGTGTAAAAAATGTTCATGTCTGTGTGAAAGTAGATTTCATCAGATTTTTAAAGATATGTGGTCTGTTAGGATTGTTGCTCACATAGGGAATTTGGGATGCTACTCTGAAATTTGTGTCTGTCATGATGTTTTTGTTTGATTGTTTCTTCTCTAGTTGCTGTATAGTAATATACTAGCTTGCTAGGACTCCTATAATGAGGTATCATAAACTACCTGACTTAAGCAACAGAAACTTAGTGTCTCACAATTTTGGAGGCTGGAAGGCCAAGATTAAGGTGTTGGTAAGGTTGGTTCCTTCCAGGTCTGTGAGGGAAAGATGTGTTCCAGGCCTCTCTCCTTGGCTTGTATTGGCGGTCTTCATGTCCACATAGTTTCCTCCCTGTATGCATGTTTGTGTCAGATTTCACCTTTTTAAAAGATACCAGTCATACTGCATTAGAATCTCGTTATATCTGTAATGATCCTGTTTCCAAATAAGGGCACGTTCCAAAGTATTGTTGGGAGGGAAGGGTTTCAGTACATGAGTAATGTGATATTTTTAATGGTGATGAAAGTGGGTAGGGTAACCCTTGATAGGTAGTCAGTTATGGTGTACTTGGTTACTGGGTCTCGTGGAGTGCAAGGAAGAATAAGATAGATTAACACTCAAGAAATTTTACTGTGGTTAGTGATGTTTGAATTATCAGTATTTTTTTCATATTTTGTGGATTGTGACTATGGAGATCTTGATATTTCATCATTATATTTAGGAAAATTACTGAGTTTAAAACAAATTTTTCGGTGGGACCTGAAGCCTTTTACAGTGCCATTTTCTCATAAGAGTAGAGGTGGAGTTTGGGGAGAGAATTATGGTGATTTATTTTCTGAGGGCCATTTTATAAATATGGCCTTATCATAATGAGTGATAATTACTTGAGGCCTTACTAGACTTTAGCAGTGCTGGCTTCAAAAGTACTTCTTGTCACATGAATTGAAATTTCAGTTTGGATAACATATAATCAGAATTTTTAGAGCTGTGAGGTCATCTTTAATCCCTTTATTCTGCATGTGAGGAAATTGAGAACCCGAGGTATCTAGGGTCCTCAGTTCTTGATGATGCAAAGATTTTTCTGCTTGTTGTAAGTTGTATTTTCATCAACTCTTCTTCCCAAGGCCCCTAAAACAAACCAGTCTTAAAGGGCATTTGACTTTTTTAGAGATTATTTCTCTTTGTTTCTTTAAAGTTAATCTATTGAGTATATTTTATGCAGTACTTTTATATGACTTTATTATCTACCAAGTACTCGGAAAACTGAAGTGGTATAAGGTAAACTTATGGGTAAAGGGAACTAATAATTGGGGATTATTGGTTAATAATAGTTAATGGTTGATCCTCTTTATAATGAGAAAATTGAAAAACAATAGGGTATTAGATTAAGTGATCCCTAAGATCAAGCTTCAAAATCATATGATTCTCTTAAATGGTCAAGTGTTCAAGATGATGAATTAAGTGGAATGATTGGACATCTCCCACATTTTCTCTCTCTCTTTTTTAAAGAACCCTGTATTAACAATTTATCTTTCAAATGAACCTTGCTGCATGCATTTACTATAAAACATATAATTACTGTAATTTAGGTGGGTAATTAGGAAGAATTTGTCAAATCATGGGACATAGTATACAGTATACTGGAGATAAAGAAGCCTGATTTTTAGTAATATTTTAAAAAATGAGCTTCTAAATGCTTGACTAGATTTTTCTGTTTCAGTGTACTTTAAAGAGAAGAGATTGGCTATCACAAATTTTTCTGACAACCATTTATGGATAATTTTGCCTTATTCTTTATAACATAATCTACTTTCTACTAATGGAGTTAAATTTAAAAGTTCTTATTTTCTTTTGCCCCTACGATATTAAGTCAGATCTTGCAGGTGCTGGTCAGGTTCTGTGAAGCATTTGTTGGTGTTGGTGACATTAAAATATGCTGATTATGCTTTCATTGGATCACAGTTTCCTTTTCTGCTTTCTGATTTACAGGGAGATGCTGGTGATGTTCTAGTGAATTACATAGTGTTTCATATATGTTATGACTTTTTTTATAATAGATGAAGATGAACATTTGAATAGCTGTGTTGTTTTTTTTTTTTAATAAAACTGAATACTTCTTAACTTACAAAATAATCATTCTTCAGTGCAGGCGTTAATGTTGCACAGATGGTAGCAAAGTACTTTCCTTTGATTTTTAATAAGTGACTAGTTTGTCAAAGAGATTTTTCAACTTCTGCTGTGAAACTTAGAGAATAATTTGAAAGGCACACAATGTACATCATTATAATCCTTTGATGTAGATTAATGATGGCTAAATCACATTTTCTAATTGCTTTCCTTTTCCATAGTTTATTATTAAATTTTAAGAAAAAACTTGGCTAGGCAGCTCCTTAGCAAGATGTGCATCTCTGTTCCTCGATATTTTGTGGTATACACAGAAATACCCAAATTCAGAGAGTAGGATTCTTTTAAATGTCATCCTTAAGAAATTTTACTGGGTGGAAGGACCAATATTTTTCTTTGTGAAATGAATATGATAATTTATCATGCTTAGAAGCAGTTACTCTTAAAACTGTTGCAGCTGTTAATAGTGTGATTTATGTCCCATCAGTGGTGGTGTTTTTGCTTTTTACAGTCATAACTTAGATATGCTGCATAAAATCTGGAATTTATAATCATGTTTGCTGTTGTGGTCCTTGCTTAGTTAAGACAAGATATGTAATTCATATCTTTTTGAGTAAATTTATTATTACTGGATTGTTAGTGAAATTACTGTGTACTTGTAAATCACATAGATTTATGATCTCTTCACTTACTCTTTTGTAAGTTAAGAAATTGTACATATACACCGGAGTGAGAAATTTGTTGCCTTAAATTTTAGATTTTCGTTTTTTTAGTCAAATATGTTAATACTAACTGCATGTTAATATTAACTGCAAGCCTTAATTTTCCTTTAAGGCTTTTGTAAGTTTTTGTATGCATTTTTTAAGTTTTATTAGCATTGAGAACTTTAGGATTTGACTTGCTTTTAATTGAAAATGTAATAATCTGTGTTTAAAATGAATTTAAAAAGCAAATGCAAGTTTTTAGAGACTATCAGAGAATTAACCTTTAAGTCTTCATAATCCTGAGTCTTTCTTAAATGTAATCCTGGTAACATTTCATCTTGATCTTTCCTCTGTACTTGAGATTATACCAGAAATGACTTGATTTTGGAATCTATTTATCACTGCAGAGAAAAGGCCCTTTTGAATTTAGACATAAAGTCTCTGGATGAATGGATACCTCATTCTGACTGATTCCCAAGATTCCTTCCTAGTAACACTGTGTACTGTTGCTATTCAGCTGGGACATGAGAAGGGTGTCAGAAGGTCTGCTCTTAAGCAGATACACATCCTGCATCCAGCGGGGTTCGTCATGTTACTGTCTTCCCAGTGTGACACTTCCATTTCCGCCAGGAGGAAGGCATGGCTTCTTTTAGACTGGACTGGAGTTTGACTGACCCCTTTGTTTGGCAGGGATCATATCTCTGAAATTACTAAAGTTAAATTCTAATTATTTGTTTTTCAAAATCCACTATTTAAAAAGTTTTTCCTAGCTGTTTAAATGCTTTTAATTGGTGGAGCTGTTTATAAAGATAGGACTTTATACTCAAGCAGTATGAGGAGAAAGAAGAATAGACAG